AACCCCCTTCCCCTCCCCCTTTTCTGATGAAGGGTCTAGGCCCGAAACGTCAGCCTCTCTGCTCCTATGATGCTGCTTGGCCTGCTGTGTTCATCCAGCCCTGCACCTTGTTGTCTAAGAAATAGGAACTACTCACAAGTGGTCTGATAAATAACAGCAGCTGCCTGTCTTCAGGCTCAGCAAGGGTATGCACCAGGCTCAGAATCACCTTGCTTCAAGCAGTAGGTTTCAGGCAAAACAAGGCAGTTCCAGCTCCCAGAAACAGGAAGCTTGTTGCTATTCTGAGCCTAGATGTTGCAGATACCTTTGACTATTGCCTCAAGTGAGGTTTACTGGAACATATTGTTTCTGAGCTGGTAATCAAAAGTGGAGACTGGAGGCAGTCAACTGCTCAAGTTGTATGTTTCCACTTGCTAGAGGGCCAGGCAAAAGAAGGACCCTGTGGCAGGCAGTCTGTGATACCTAGAGAAGCAGATGTAATAAGGACCCTGCAATAGGCAGTCAGCATCCTATAGAGGAGCAGGCCAGTAGAGGCAGTGATACAGGCAGTCAGCATTATCTCAGGGATCAGGCAAGAAAAGTAACCCAAGATGGGCAATCATAAACAGAAGTAAAGAAGGCATATGGTGTGTTGGCTTTCATTGGCAGGGGAATTGAGTTTAAGAGCCGTGAGGTTATGCTGCAGCTCTATAAAACTCTGGTTAGACCACACTTAGAATATTGTGTTCAGTTCTGGTCACCTCATTATAGGAAGGGTGTGGAAGCTTTAGAGAGGGTGCAGAGGAGATTTACCAGGATGCTGCTTGGACTGGAGGGCAGGTCTTATGAGGAAAGGTTGAGGGAGCTAGGGCTTTTTTCATTGGAGCGAAGAAAGATGAGAGGTGACTTGATAGAGGTGTACAAGATGATGAGGGGCATAGATAGAGTGGATAGTCAGAGACATTTTCCCAGGGTGGAAACAACTATTACGAGGGGGCATAACTTTAAGGTGATTGGAGGAAGGTATAGGGGAGATGTCAGAGGTAGGTTCTTCACACAGAGAGTGGTGGGTGTGTGGAATGCACTGCCGGCAGTGGTAGTGGAGTCAGATACGAGACTTTTAAGGACTCTTGGATCGGCACATGGAGGATAGTAAAATGTAGAGTATTCAGGGTAGTTTGATCTTAGTAGGATAATAGGTCAGCACAACATTGTGGGCTGAAAGGCCTGTACTGTGCTGTACTGTTCTGTGTTCTATGTTCAAGTAGATTCATTGGAGCTGACTGGCAAGAGATTTTTTCTGCTTTCTCATCCATAGTTTAAATTAAATAGTCTAAAAGTAGGCTTTAGGCATGGCAGAAACGATCAGTTAGATTGAATGTCCGTTCTTTGCCATGTGGTAAGTCACAGACCCTTCATGTAGCCAGGACGATCGCATGTGTGGGAAATGTCTGCAGATGCAAAGATGTGAGCTCTGGGTTTTAGAACATGAGTGGTGACTGGAATCACTGTTGTGCATCCACAAATCTGAGAAACACATGAACATTTACCGAAGTGGTGACATAACAGATTAAGACCAGGCAGGAAGAGACAGGATGGGTGACTGCTAAACTGTATGGGAAGATCAGGCAGATAATTGCAGGAGTTCCTGAGCCTGATTCACTAACTGGTTTTCTATTTGAATACTAGTGAGGGACAACAATGAATGGTGATTCAATAGTTAGGAAAACATAGAGGCACTTCTGTGGCTGTAGTCATCACTCCAAGATGGTACATTGTCTCCGTGATGCCAGCATCAAGGAGGTCACACAGCAGCTTTTGATTTAAGGTGAAGAGTCAGAATTTGTGGCACACACTGGAACCAAAGACATAGGTAGAAACAAGAATAAATTCCTGATTGTAGAATTAAAGGAGCTAAGGAAATAAACTGAAATACATAGCCTCTGGGACAGTATCTCAGGACTGCTCCCAGTGCCACGTAATGGGTGCAGAAATATGAAGATTGGGCAAAGGAACACATGGTTGGAAACGTGGTGCAGGAAGGGGAAGGTTTTAGATTTTATGAACATTGAGACCACTAATAGGGCAGGTAGGATCTATAAAAGGAGGACAACTTACAGGAGATTTGATAGTGCTGTTGCAAATTCAATATGTTAATGATGTTGGGAAGGATTTGCTCTATAGCTGGTCAGGAGAGTGGGAACCTATGTAGGAAATCAGATAGAATAAAAATAAGACTCATTATGAGAATTAAAACAACAGTAAATGGATGTGGAAAACAGCAGAAGCAAATCATACAGTCAACGAAGGTCAAACTATAGAACAATGTGAAGGTAGATAAAAGAATAAAGCAAAATTAAAGGACTGTCTGATTGCATGCAGCATTCACAGCAACTTAGATGAATTGATCGCATTAATGGTAAAGGAGTATAATTTAATTACCATTACAGAGATGCAGGTGCAGGTGCCTAAAACTGGGAACTGAATATTGAAGGATATTTGACATTCAAGCAGGACAGGCAAAAAAAAACAAGGTGATGTAGTGCTTATAATAAGGGATGATCAGTGCATTAATGACTGGGGATCTCCAATGGGAGAAAACAGAACATAGAATTTGTTTGGGTGGAGCTAAATAACAAGCAAGGGGTAGCAAACATTGGTAACACTGGTTTATAGGCCACCAAATAGTAGCATTAACGTAAGATATGGTACAAATCAGGAAAGTAGAGGTGGGTATAGCAACAGGAATGGAGTAAGCATCGATGATTTTAGATTTACCCAATATATGTGTATATCAATGAGCACCAATGTGGTGAACGAAGAATTCCTGGAACGTGCTTGAGATAGTTTTCTGTCACAATTTGTTGAGGAACCAATTAGGACACAGGTTATTTTAGATCTAGTATTATGCAATGAGAAAGGGCTAATTAAAATCTTATTGTGAAAACATCTTTAGGGAATAATGACCATGGTTTGATGAAACATTCGGTTGAGTTTGAAAAAGACTTACTTCAATCCGAAAGCAAGGTCTTAAATTGAAATAAAATCAATTATGAAAATATGAGGAAGATATTAGCTCCAGTGAATTGGGCAAACGTACATTAAAAGGTGTGATGGTAGATAGAGAATGGCTAGTATTTAAAGGCCCAATGCTTGTTTGAAAAAATATGTATATTCCTTGAAGGTAATAAGACCCAACTGGAAAAACAAGGGAGCCAAGGCAAACAAGGGGAAGCTAAAAATAGTATTAAATCAAAGGAGATGGCTAATAAAATTGTCAAAAAGATTGTAAACCTTGGAATTAGGAGAATTTTAAAATTCACTGAAAGAGGACCAAGAAATTTATAAAGGTAAGAAACAGTAGAAAATAAATGCAAAATAGCAAGAAACATAAAAAGATTGCACAAGCTTTTGTAAGTATGTTAATAGGAAAAGCTTAATGAAAACAAATATGGATCCATTGCAGACAGAGACAGGACAATTTATAATAGAAAATACAGCAATCGCAAAAAAGCTAAATAAGTATTTCGTGCCTGTATTCAGTGAAAAAGACTCAAGATATCTTCTTGAAATAATTAAGATCCAGGGGTTGATTGAGAACAAGGAATTGAAAAATATTAATGTCTTTAAAAAAAGTTTGGAGAAATTAATGTTGACAAATCCCCAGGACCAATGCCCTTCTCCCTGGAACGTTAAGAGATGGCTGCAGAGATAGTGGATGCACGGTGATCATTTTTCAAAATACTTTGAATTCTATAATAGTCCCTGAAATTGGAAATATTGTTCTAAATGCTGA